TGTGCCCGTGATACATTTTCCACTTGCAACATTTGATAAGATATCCTGAATTGAAGACTTCCACGCTGTTTGCAATACAGAATAATTTTGTATCATCCTATATTCGACTTCCATATAAAATATACTGAGTGGTATAGAAAAAAGGACATCGTGTAATAATAAATGTAATACAAACGATTTCTAGGTATATCTTTCTTTAGGTTACGACGAAAACCGATCAGCTTCTCAACAATATCAGTAAGATGGTTGTTGTGATATCTGTCTGTTCTTACAAAAAAATAAAGAAGCGATAGTTGTGTTTTGTAGCGACATTGGGCAGTTGAGCATAGTTCAAAACGTTGTGAACAGCTGCTTCAATATGTTCATTAGGCCTAGATTGTGAAGACGAGAAAGTTTCCAATTGGCTTGTGTGAGGCTGGATGGTCCTTTAGAGAAATAGCGACCAGAGTGCACGCTAGTCTAAATACGCTGGTGATTTGTTTTTATTTAACATGTTATTACTAGAATGACCTCGACTAACACAATTTTTGATACAAAACGCAGTTCTCTATCTTTCAAAATGACGGACTGGCTAACTGTCGGAAGTTGAGTAGTTTTGTACAGCCTTATCGTATGTTGATCGATCATTTTCTTTTGAATGTGCTCAACATATAATAAAATATTAACCATTCCATTTTTCTAACTTTCATATATATCTTTAACTTGAGACAACCTGTATAACGCTGATAATGTTCTTCAAATGTGCATTGTCTTCATCAATCCATAATTACCTAGATTTTCAAATGGTTTTTTTTAAACAATGCTCCATCCACGCACTATTGGACTACCCTGTATTGCAACTTATGTTACTTAGCAGAAATCTTCTGCGCAGTTACCTCGATCATATTTTTCTGATGCAATTACATTTTTTTCATTCGCTGATGCTAGTATTTATTACAAAGTCTAATTAAAGTCTGATGAAATAAATATTTTTACATTTTTGATAGCGAGCGCTATCAATTCCTAAATTAATTTACGAGCTGTTAACCTGAATTTTTATCTACAATTTTATGTCGATCAAGTAAAAGCGCAAGAACATAGAGTTTTGTGGCGCCTTAATACTGGCGCCACAATATTACATGTGTTATTTCTCTTGTAAAAAATTCAATAAATGCTTACATCTAAAAATACATAGGTCACGGTACACTTCTTCTACACAAGATAATTCAGAGTATTTCTATAGTCCTGTACTTTGCGCTACTTGCTCAACACAATACAATTTTTTATATAAATTCAAGCACCCAGAGAGCAAGGTCCATATATAACCTCTAATGACATAAGTTTCAAGCTGCATAGGGTCACTAGAACTAGTTGAGGTGTCCCATTGTAGGTTGCACCACTCGATGCACTACGAACGAAGCAACCGTATCGGAGTTGCAAAGAGGAGCTTGAAACTAGAAACGCAACGACTTAATGCAGAAGCATCAATAACAATTCCTTGCAAACTTGGGTAGTATTCGATTACTTGGTATTTTGAATCCCATTCAGAATATACTTGGCTGGTATTCGAAATCTCGTATTCGGTCCTGTGTTGGAGTCTTGTTTTCAAATAGCTATTTTTATGAATACTGCATTACGTCTTACGCATTTCAAGCATATTGAAATATGATCGCGGTGGTTGTAAATGACACAAACAAAACAGCTACACAAAGTTATTTTGTGTATGTGGACGGTGAATTCGCGATACCGACTGGTCCCTTAACGAATGAGATTAGATTACGTTTGCATTTGTGCTTGTTCATTATTGTCAATACATTTCAATATAAATTTTGATATATCTTATAATGTGTGTGTAACACCAGACAAAGTAGATATACAACACATACATGACATTGTGTAAGGTTCACATATTTTCTTACTGTTTTATTCGATTGTCTATAAAATTCTAATAAGAATCAAAGAATATTTTTTATTATACAATTAGTTTGTCTAACGTCACTGTGACATTGTGTATCAAAACTTCATTTTGTTTTTTAGTTTTGTTTACTTACACGTGTATTTTTATTTTTTCTATTTTTTTGTAACTTAAGTAGGGGTAAACAGGAATCAACTTTAAAGTGCGCATATGTTTTTTTTCATTAGGAATATTACAAAAGTATTGAAATTTAAATGCATTCAGCTATGCAAAACAGCGGTATTCAGATACTCTTTGCATTGGAATCTTGTGTATTCATTCATATACAATTTAAAATACAGTATTCTGGATTCGTATTCCAATACCGAATTTAGTACTTGATCCAAGTCTGCGGCCTTGGCACAGCAGTACTTTCACGTTAATAAGCCCATAGATGAGCTTAATATGATAGAAACAAGCGCGGATGAAGTTACTTCAAAAATCCTCTATCAAATGGATGTCTGCGGCCTAGGCACAGCAGTACTTTCACGTTAATAAACCCATAGATGAGCTTAATAAGGATAGAAACAAGCGCGGATGAAGTTACCTCAACAATCCTCTATCAAATGAAAGTCTGCGGTCTAGGAACAGCAGTACTTTCACGTTAATAAATCCATAGATGAGCTTAATAATGATAGAAACAAGCGCGGATGAAGTTACCTCAAAAATCCTCTATCAAATGAAATCACTGTGATCGATAGAAAACATCGGCCCGAAGACAATTTTTGTCATACTTTTTGGCAAACAAAAGCTGATTTTACCATCAGTTAATGTCAAATTGTGATTAAGTATATGGGCTAGCTTTTACCTTCTTATAAATGTCCCCATGTTTCCACACCTAAGATATGCAGTCGGTTATCTTCCAAAACAAAGAAATTAATGATGATGGATCCCTCGAGCACTAAGAACTCCGGACGTAAACTCACTCACTGGCTAGGAAAAGACCCAAGAAATGACTGATTGTGCGTACAACAAGGCGCATAGTGGATGATGCAAATAGGGTCGTTGCTCCTTTTGACTCTGCTAATACTCTCTGGTGAACGGCAGAGTAGTAAAAAACTAGGATTCTGACAAAGGTGTCAGGATCCTAGTCAGGTGTACCGGATATTTCAAATTTGCCACTCACCATTAGCATCTCGAAAGCTGTAACATATAGAAAGCTGCTTAAGCGGCGAAGTTGCGTATCTAGGTAACTAACAAAATGCTGCCTAGAAAGTTTTGAAATTGGAAGCACTTCCGGAGAGAGATGGAAATAACCGAATTACCCAAAATCATTTTAATTTTTTCCCGGCCTGATGGAATTTATTTTCAAAATCTCATTTCAAATAAAGTCAGGAAGGAATAAAAATAATTTGGCGATAAATCTGGTATATCATGCGAATGACTATCTGATAAAAGGTCTTCCTAGGAGATTCTAATTTTTTGAAACAACTGAGGTTTGGCAATGTCAATTTATCACATATTTTTGGAATCAGAATTGATAACTCTATTCACCTGTGCAAAAGCCAATATGGCGTCTTTAAGAAAAAATTAAATTGATGCAGGAAGACAAAAGACGAAACGTCATATTGAAATTTTAATTATGCTATCTTGTTCAGGCAATGTTAATGTGCAGCTTATTTTGAAATCTCGCGAAAAATTCAGTCAGGAAAAAATTAAAATGATTTTTGGAAAATCGGAAGTATTTCGAATTCCGAAACTTTCTAAGGGGCATTTTATTAGTTACCTAAATACGTAACTTTGCCCCTATTTGAGCGACTCAGAATTTCTTACCATTTCCAAGATCTCAATGGTCGAATTTGAAACAGAGGCCAATAATTCCCAAAAACCAGCGTGATGCCCATACTCAATAACACTGAGGTCCGGATTTTCAATCGCTGCTCAACTTCCAAGTTACGTAACTATAACCTGAACGTTAACTATCAGTTACCTGTCATTTCGTTTTTCAAGTTCTGGTTTTGGATTACAAACCGTTGATGCAGCAACGCCGCTTCTGTGCCTGAATTATCCTAATCTAGACGTTTTTCGTTGTTCGGTAGTTGTGATTCCTGTCATCCTTGACAACTTATGTTACTGTCACGCATATTATATATATATATATAAAAATGCTTCTTGAGAGTTAATTTCTGGTCAGCAGTCAAGTTGCAGTTAACCGATTGAAAAACTGCCTAATGGTAGAAAAATGGAGTCAAGTAGGCTGATGCAACGCTGTCGGCACAAGTTGGTTCCTTAACGAAAAGAGTTAGCCACGGGCATGTATGACAAAAAAATAGATCAAGTTAGTCAAACAGGTTCATACAATTAAAATTCGCTCTTCAAAAGGTTTTGAAGTCAGGTACACTTTCACACAAAGTTATCTCTTGCCGATGGATGACCTTCCCCTTCCCCGAGAAGAATTACTGCGGGCGCACATCATCGAAACTATGTTATACCTGGCGTGCACAGAGAAATCTTTGATAAGTGAATGTTTGAAAGGTCTGTAGAGCTACCGCCATTGAAGCTGTATACCAAGGTCAAAAAAATGAAATACACCCTCCACAACCCCCCTAAAACTCCCACCCTTAATTTTTTCACTTCTAAAAATTTTTTAAAAAGGACCAAGAACCTTTGAGACGTCAAAAAGCGAAGTTATGCGCAGTTTTTGTTTTTACTTTGTTAGCTTGTTAGCCCTTAGCTCTGATGCTACGAAATCGATTTTCAAAAAGTATAACGCTTTTTCCTCTTTGGCATAGCAGTAACCTTGAATCTGAGAGATGAGCTGACAAGAAAAAAGTGAAATTGACACTCTGCTGAGAATTTCAAGAACAATAAGAGGGAGTAAATGGACTGAGCCTTACTTAATAGTGAGACGAATTAAGTTGGCACGATGAAGAGCCGAAAGGACTGATGAGATAGAAGTATCGAGTTTTCATGTCAAATTTGTTAAAGCTTCCTGCTCTCCCTCCCAAAAAAAACAAGTATCTATATATTGTTGAATAACCTTGGTTGTATTTGACGAAATTTTAACCTGTGAACCTTTTTAATAAATTTCTGTGACAACATATTAGATATATTTTTCTCCTTTCAGGCAGAAAGGAAGGGATGCACAGCCACCGAGTATGGTCTAGTCTTCGGCATTTTCGAACTTATCGTTTTCATCATTAGTCCAATCTACGGCAAACACCTCAACAAGATTGGGCCCAAGGTGACCTTCAATGGCGGCATCTACACCACAGGAGTTTGCGCCATCTTGTTTGGTCTCCTCGACAAAGTGAATGGACATTATCCGTTCATCATTCTCAGTTTCGTCATAAGGATCATTGAAGCTCTTGGTAATGCAGCTTTTCTCACAGCTAGCTTTGCGATTATAGCTAAAGAGTTTCCAGATGCTGTAGCCACTACCTTTGTAAGTAATAAACAAATTCCATAGAAATTAAGGAACTAAAAAAATGTATATAAAATGTTGTAGGATGTTAAGCATCAGATACTTATCACAGAAGCACGAAATAATGAGAACTCAAAATTGAAGTAGGATTATATTGTCCATCCAGGAGTAACGATAGTTATCGTTTATTTCCTGTTAATAGTGATCTCAGCTGTCTCAAGTTGATTCAAATATTGAAATTAGAAGATACATCTGCGTTTTGAAAACAAACTGCTTTGAAAGACACATTGGTATGCCAATTCTGTTCATGTGTAGAATACTACTACTACTTACAAGAAAAACTAATTCTGTTATAAACGAACAAATTAAAGCGACTGGAACGAATTCAACTAGCTTAACATTCATTTGTCTAACTGGTTGCATATATGCATAGATGTATGGCCATAAATCTCAAATTATCCCAAACATTAAAGGTACGCCTACGCATCACTCAAAACTGAGAAAAGAAATGAATGTGTCATGAAAATTTTAAGAGATAAATAAACGGAAAAAATACTATTTATTGTATTGTGGCTGAAAGAAAAATCCAATTATACAGAGTGTACCAAAAGTTATGGATCAAACGAATGGGGCTGATAGAGGGTCATTTCCAATCAGAAACATAATATATGTATGTACTAATCGTATTGTGCACCGTTTTCGAGTTATCCACATTTTTAAGAATTTGTAAACAATCGCTACCTTTATTCTGAAGTTATATTTTATTATTACTCAATCAACTTTACAGGATATATTCCCAAATGACATGTCATTGAAAAAACTGTCACTAGAATTTAGACCAGTAAATTTAGGCTAAAGCACAATTTTGTCTGTTGTCAAGGATATTACAGCATGTTCAACAAGTCAACAACACCTGTAAAAAAAATTAGTGGTCAAGCAAGGTGTCCATAGTTATATTTCCAAGTAATATGGCCTTCCAAAGTATCTTTTAGATAATAAAATTTTCTTAGAAGTTTTTGCGCAACATGCAATCTCGAAAATTTCCATTTTTTTGAACTTAATAATATAACTGTAATTGTCAACCTCCTACATACCGAATAGGACTAGGAAACAATCAAAAAATGTCATGTCTCGAGTTAGGTAATACGGTACACCCAAAATAATTTCAAGGCCACCATCCAATACATTAGTTAGAGCTGGTAATAATTTGAAAATTTATTATCCTTTAGGTAATCGATTTAAGGCTATCCGGAATATAGAAGATTAGCAATGGCAGTTATAGGATAATTTCATAAAATGAGGCACCCTGTAGCATTTTGCTTTAACTTGCGCAAAAGCAATTAAGCATATTTAAATATTTGAAAGGTACTTTGGAGGCTAGAATATACGGAAGTTTCTCCTAACTATGTACAGTTTATCTGCACACTATATTTTCTAGGAGCCTACTTGAATATGCTGTAATATTCTTGAAAATGGATGAAATGATGGTTCAACCGATTGCTACATAACTGGACTAATTATTCACTGATAGATTTTTTTCAACTATACATCCTTTGAAAACTTATTTTGTAAAGCTGATTGAGAAATAACAAAAGACAACGACGGAAAAAATAATAGTCACAAAAGTATCAGTTTTCTAAAAATTCTCAAAAATGGCGATTCTTCATAATCCTTCTAGAATCGCATACGCACCTATATATGGATTTTCTGATTCGAAGTGAACCACCCCCCTCCCTTCCATATCACGCAATGATGGTAATTAACTCCCAACTTTTATACGAATTATGAACTTTTAACAGTTGTGAGTAATGAATGTGTTCTTGGGTTTCCAAAGGAGCTTTAAGTACAGGATAAACTCGCAGCGCTTTTCCAATGATACTGGTAAAAGCTTAACTTTTATTTTAATCGTGAAAGTATACTCTCATGTTTCAATTATCTTCTTTTGAGGCTTATTTTCAAAACAGTATTGGAAATTAAACGCAAGTAGCGGAATTATTTATACTTTAAGCACTGCCAGGCCAGGTCACATATCTTAAATGAAGAACTTCGAATAACTTATCAGAATGAAGCTTTTTTAATTCGATCGAAGCCAGAGCACAGTCTTCAGGCTAGGTTTTCATTACTTCTCTGACACATTGGAATTTCTACTGTTATAAGTATCGCAGTAATAAATATATTTTTTCCCAGGCTTCTTTGGAAACGTTCTTCGGGCTGGGTTTGATAGTGGGACCCACAGTAGGTGGTGCGCTATTCCAAGTTGGAGGCTACACACTGCCCTTTGCAGTGATGGGATCTGCGCTCTTTATGTCAGCAGTTATGACAGCATTTGTATTACCAAGGCATGAAGAGGGAACTGACAGGGAAATTGGAGGTATGTACGTAAACAACAAGTATCATAGTTAGGTATCATTAATAATACAATTAAAAAATAATCTCGACTTGGTAGACATAATCCGGCAAGTTTCGTACAGTGTGCTAAGATAGTGAATGGAAAATTAAGAACTGGATTTCCGGATTGATAACGTCTTGTTTGTAAGATTTCTAAAATGAAAAATTTCATTATTCCCACGCCTTGATAAATATTCATATCAGAATGACAAAAACATTTTATAACGGATGTTTTAAGAATATTTAGGTGCTTTAGCAACATTAAAATTTTTAATTTTTTTTTCTGGGTCGGAATGGGAATATGTTCCACGAGCTCAAATATCAAAATTGTGTATACCTCAAAAATTATCAAACTTAAGGCCTATTCATACTCAGCCGTGACGTGACAGTGCTGTGACCGGCACGTGATCCGCGCTGCGAAACTTAAAATATTCTACCTAGAATTTGGATGGCTGATTCACACTAGACCGGCACGTGGAAGTTCCCGTGTTCTCAGTACCCTCGACGACGCCGTTCCGTGATCATCGCATTGTTTTGGAACGATATTTTTCAATTTTCACGGCCGTGTTTTTATGTAATTTCGTAAATGTTTTGATATATTTGGCCAAAAACATGAATGATGGAAAATTAATTGAATTTTTGCGCGCACATCTTGTGCTATAGAAACAGTCGAATTCAAAATACATGGACTTCCGTTTTCTTCTCGTTTCTTCTTCTCCAAATTTTGCCATTTCGACCTCACGTGAACACTGTCAGAGCACGGAGAAACATACTATCCGGTGTGAATTGAAAACACTGTGAGCTCACATCGGCGAGAATCGCTGGCACGTCACGGCACTGTCACGTCACGGCTGACTGTGAATGGACCTTTAAAGGTGAGTTCATAAGAGCGTACCTAGATAAATAGATGACACGAAACAGGTGTCCATGGTTGGCTGACTGTGGACGGACGGACGAAAGGCTATATTGCCAGTTTGTTCAATGGCGAGTAGACCGTATAGCACCAGAATCAACGGCATCTCGGGGCCACAGTGGTGAACCGGCTGATAATGTGAACTGAGATACAGTTCCAATAGACAGGATGCTGTTCTCACTCTCGTGGTAGTTGATTCTGGAAATAGAAGACACTTTATGCTGTCTTATTTCGATAGACCTTATACCCTTGATAGAGGATAGTGTCACAGCCTTCGTTCGTTGTCGTACCTGGGAACAAGCCTTGACCATGCTGGGGAGTTACCAAACAGCTCGAAAGAGGCGTCCATGATTGCCCGGCTGCAGCCGGATGAAGGAAAGCTATATTAATAGACACTTTTTTATTCAAAATGACCCATAATGCCGAAAAAAGTTAGTTCGGAACAAAGAAAAATGGGGATTCGTTTAAAAGCCTTTTAAACAGCTTCTGGCGTAATTTTCAAGATGCAAGATGCAAATTTGTTGAATAAGTCGTTGTTGAATAAGATTATGTGTAAAAACCAACTCAAAATACTCTTCCAGCAGATGCGAAGACACTTCCTCAACTAATCATGCTTAACGTTTCTTTTTCAGTGTCAGTGTTGAAAGCTCTTAAGATCCCAGGAGTGCTGCTAGCCACATGCAGCATCATAGTGACCAGCATGTCAATAGGGTTTCTTCAAGCCACTTTGGAACCCCACCTGCGTCACTTCATGTTGCCTCCGATCATCCTGGGGTTGATGTTTGTGATAAACTGGGGGCACATACGCCCTTACGGCACCCATCTTTGGATGGTTCTGTGATAAATTCTGCAGCCCTAAGTCGGCTACTCTTCTTGGAACTTTATTAGTAGCTGGAGGGTTTGCTTTGGTTGGACCTGCACCGTTTATTCCTATGCAGACGTGAGTATTTGTTGTTCTGCTTTACCTATATTCTGACAAACTTTGCACCACACCGTTGATAAGAAAATAATGGATTTAACTATGCATATGAGGTCTGTAAATTAGATGATGAAACTGGCAAGGTTACGTTCGATCTGGCAACACTGGACGGGAGACAGGGGAACATGTGATCCGCCTTCAGTACAAGTTTGAACTCGCTCGAATCATTTGGTTGTCCGTAGTGTTTTTGTAAACAGTTTTTCCTACTGTGCTATAAAAACGAATGACAGCAATTTCGAAACACGGTGTGCATCATGCTTGGGCACAGTGCAACGTAAACTCTTGACAAACAGGCCTACGGAAATAGTGTTTTGTCAAGAGCCCATGTTTTTCGGTGGCTTAAGGCATTTTCAGAAGGGAGAGGGTCGATTAAAGCACGAAGCGGAAGGCACTGATCTTCAAGAACCGGTGAAAATATCGGCAGAATCCGGTATATCGTACATTGAGATCAACGGATGACAGGCAGAGTTGTAGGAAAAGAGTTAAATTGGATTCACACCACCGTTCATCAGATCCAGAACAACTGGGTGTCGCATCAAGATAATGCTCCTTGTGACAGCCAGTAAAAGCATTACTGTGGCTCCTCAGTCTCCTCATTCGCCTGACTGGAGTCCTTGGGACTGTTTTTCTTTTGCAGAAGTTGGAAAATCAGGATTTGACTTTGGGACAATTTAAGACATTCAAACGGCTGTCACCGGCCACTTTCGGATTTCCAGCACTGTTACAACGAGTGGAAGAAACGCTTCCAGCGCTGTGTCGCTTCAGGAGGAAGTTATTTGCAGAGTGACGATATAAAATTTTAATATTTGGATGAGAAAATTTAAGAAATCAGTCTCAGCACTGAATTTACAGACCTATTATGTCACTTGAATCGCCACGAAGACCGACTGATACCACCACTATGATGGTACGTTTTACTAAACCGTTGAAAACAGATATTAACAAAAAATCTATATCTGTCACATCTCGATCCAGAATACCCGCGAAGTATGGCCACTTCCACCTCTTCCTTTCTTGTTTCAGTGTATTATGGGTGACAATCCTGGGACTGGTTCTGCATGGACTAGGAATTGCAGCTCAGTTGGTCTCTTCGTTTTCAGATGCGCTTAGAACGTGTGTGTGAGTATACCCTTACGCGATGCTTTTTGTTTAATTCCTAGCGTCACGGATAAGAATTACCTATATGCGTACGATAGCAACATTGAAAAAGTCAATTTTGTTACGCAACCATTTTAGGTTTTGTATGCATATACTTATAATAGTCATATTAATAATGAATATGTGTATACATGTTTTTAGAGTTTAAGTTGCTGTTATGGCACATTTGTGAATAAATTGCTTTTTTGGAACAGTAGAAGCGGAGACGTGGAAAAATCTGTTTTGGATTATATAAAATAGAAGAGCAAAACCGGCAACGATTATCTTGGACTGAGTTCGAAATCAGATTTTCTAATAAGCTGAAACTGATCTGAGTATGAGGTTCAAAAGCTTAAAGTTAGGAAGATGCCTTCATCATAGACGATCTTCACAATTTCTATCTAAATTTCAGCAAACAGCAAAGTTTTGAGGAAATCTCAAATTGATATCAATATCCCAGAATGCGCCTATAAAACTATCGATGGTCCATCAGATGATAAAACCGACAATTTTTATTGGAACAGTCGTTAACTTCATAAACGTCTTGGGCTGTCCGCGGGACATTTCTTATTTCAGTCCAACTAGTTCCATTAATCCCAATACTATTTGGTTCTGTCAATATTATACAAGGCCCCAGTAAATTACTGATTTAATTCTTGTTGCTCACAAGATATTAGGAAATAACTTACTTTAAATCTTAGACGTACAAGTACGATCCACGAGATGACATTAACTCAAAACTGAAATTTTTTGTTTTCACTTGAGAGTGAGATATTACCGTTTTTTTGAATGTTTAATGAGAATTACATCACGGAAAACCATATCTCATCACATCTCTCTCGGTTTACCTGTCTGTCCGCTAATCCTTGGCCCACCTACTTGTAGAGAACTATTAAAATTTCAAAAATGTTTTGACACAAGGTTGTGATGGCACTAAGGGGAAACCCTTTTCTTCATGTCAAACACTCCTGTTCTCATGTTTGGAAATTTTGCACATAGATTTGCCCTTGAGACTTATAGTGAATGAAATATAATCGCGCTTGCACATAGTCACCTGTCATACAGGGTCTTGACATGGAGTAACTCCATCGAAATTGATAGAGTATTTATTGCTCAGAAACCATTGCTGTAACTAGTATTTAACATAGATCCTACCGAAGCCATAATTTAATTAATCATGTTTTTATTGAATCATTTTATGTTACTTGTGTTTTTATCTATTTTACACTGTACTGCTGTGTTTTAGATCCATCTTTAACCTTGTTTTTTTTATTGAAAGTATGCCTACATTGCGTTTGTATCTACAGCTATAGTGCCACATGTACACTATAACTTGAGTGTTCAGTAAATCTAATGTCTAATTCTTGTCATATGGGTGGGTACTGGGGACTAATTGTATGAGCTTTCTAGCAGACTTGATCTCTATAAGTATTTTGTTGTACATCTTTGTAGTAAACTTTTTCTAAAATGAGATGACTTGTGCCGAATAGTTTCTTTAGTAATCTGATGACAGCCTCGCATAGTGAGTAGAGGGTCATCCTGCTTGACACCATTTTTGACCATGCCTATAAATTTTTCAACTCCAAAATAATTTGTAACTCAAGACGCCTACCATAAAAAAAAAATCGATACCTGAGCGACGTACATACCTCAAAAAAAAATGATTGAAAGCTCAATTATAATGCAGTATTATACGCGGACAAGCAAGTTGTAGAAATGTATCCGGAAGATTTTCTGAGATATTTTCTGGCTTCCTATAGATCTGTTTATATTGGTAGATAATTAAATCAATAATATATAATTATTTGTAACTTTGTTCCTCCATTCCAGTGCCCATGGTTTCCCCAACAACCTGGAAACCTTCGGCATGGTATCGGGCCTATGGACTAGCACCTTCGCTCTTGGTGCATTTATAGGCCCCTCAATCGCTGGCATACTGTTCGACGCAGTGGGTTTCAGATACGCCACCCTATTCATCTTCCTGCTTCATCTGTTGCTTGGATTGGCAGTCTTCATATTCATCTGTTGCTCGAAGGAGCAAGCGGCTTACACTGAGATCAAGGAGGAACCTGTCGACGATGTGGCAAGTTACCAAGGAAAATCAGCTCAGGCTATGAGCGTCACGGAAAGCATGAAGAGGTACGAGTGTAACTTTCTTATACAATAGTTATTTAGTTTTTGTATTTCTTGAGAGGTTTTCAAGTATATCTTCAAATACCCCACGATGGCAATTACGAAAGGTACCCAACGAAGACAAAACGCGTATGTTTTGTCTCTTGATCAATTTTTTATAATTCGTATTCCGAAAAGGAACAGTTACAGTTTTCTGAAACTGCGTACCAATGTTTTTTTTTTGTTTTGAGGGTGGCTTTGATACTCGGTATTAAATTGACCAATTGATCATATATTAATTTTCCTAAGTTCTCTTACAACTAATACTTATAACTGGTAATCCGAAAATGTCCGTTAGATAATCTTAAGGTATAATCGATACCGCCACTAGGAACTTGCACACATGTACACAAAACACTACATAAGTTCATACGGCTTGGTACTTTTCACTCATCGGACGGTATTGTAGTTGTCCAGGTAGCTGAAAAGCTTCTGCACTGGGGTATTGATTCAGCCTTTCTTCGTACCTAGCCGCTACACTCTTGATGACCATGTTCCTCAGAACTCTGTTTTGGATAATTGGAACAATTTCGATATTGGAACTCTTGGAACAGCCCCAGAGTTAACAGCCATACAGTCACACTGGCTTAAAGATCTGATTATAGATAATGAGTTTATTATGAGGCGATAGCTTTGAGAATCTTTCCAATAACCAATAATATTCCTAGTAGTGGAGGCTCAGTACTTCTTTTTTTCTATGGTGCTTCCACTTAAGCGATACCTAAACGTGGATCGTCTTTTCAACAATTCATTCAATTTGATTTACCAGCTCTCCATTCCACTAAATTGTTGATAGCAGTCTAACAGTCAGTAACAGGAGAGGAAGAGGGTAGCTTTGCCTCGCTAGTATGATACAAAATAGAAATATAATGTAATCGAAAATCAAAAAGCCAGAAATAAAGTTCGTTAATTCGCTTTTAAACATTTCTATTTTCTTCGTAAGGATGTATTTAAAAAATAATCAATTAACTACAAAATTTCAACAATCGGAGAAAAAGTCAGAGGCTTTTTTGTACTTTAGCATATTTCTATCACTTACATGAAATGATGCTGGCTTCGATTCTTTCAGTACTGTCCCCAGTAACATGGAAAACTTTTAGCATTATGTTTCTCTTTATTTAATGAGTTAAAACCATCTATATGAAGATTACTTTTTTAGGCACTTGAAGTTTTATAATATCAATCCATTTCATGATATGCGAGATATCTCATCATTAAAACCGGAACTAGGGACTGTTTACATAGGTGTAGGAGTTCATAAAAACTGAAAGAATGAGGGCCAAATGACTGTCTGATAATTTCGAGGCACTCTTAGAATTTTTCCTGTAACTAACGTTTGGCAACGCCAATGTATGACAAAATAAATTTTTGAAATTATAATTAAAAATCTTATTCATCTGTTGAAAAATCCGATATGGCATCTATAAAAAAAATAAAGTTGATGATTAAGGATAAGAGACGAAATGTCAAATTATGTCACCTTATAGAAAAAAAAAGTGGCAATGTTAATGTTGAGATCTTTTTAAAACATGCGTTTTTTAACCACCTATCGAGATCAGCTTGTTAAAATAAATTATATTGAAAAATAACGGGGTTATTGTAAATGTTTATAACTATAAAAACGGCTATAATTTTCTACATCAATAATTACTAACTACACAGATTTTTGGTCATTTACAATTGTTATTGCAATAGTTATAAACATTTATTCAATATTGCTAAAAAGGCCCATATTTAACTTAACTGTTTATCAATTTAGATTCTTCAAAAATAAAGTTGAAGGTCTCTTTATGCTCAAATATATCCAGTTTACCGATTAGTTTGATTAGATTTGAAAATTATACAAGCAAAATACTGAATTATGAGCTTCTCACATTGTTTATAAAAAGCAACGCATATATGGCTGTATCTTTTTATGTATTTGTCATTAGAAATACCCATTTAGAACGTTCAGATATCTCCTAAACTTTTTTCCACGAAATACCTAGTTTTTTCTCTGTAGCCTGGGCTACTAGGCAACGCGGAAATAAGCTTCGCTATTTGTGTCTATGCATACTTCTCTCTCGTACACATTGAACTCAAGCCGACAGACAAATTTGGCTCTCATTTTACATTCTGAGTAGCGAATCGATGTTCATGTCAGTCCAACGATGCTTTTCAACTGAACGCGAAACGCCTTACTCCTCCTTGGTTTTCTGGGACTTGTACAGCAAATTATACTGTTAACAAATTATTTTATTTTATGATAATGTAGTGTTAAAATAGTAAAGCATCCTATCTTTATTCCAGCATACGTTCTGTGGGCAACGGCATCTCCATAGAGCGCAGCAGACCAGCGGGAATGAATAGTTTGATAGCCTGCAATAGCTATAAGACTCAAGCTTGGCCTCAGAGGGATGTGAGTAGCCTCACATTGAGCCAATATGGTTGCAGTTACGGTACACTTCAGGAAACCAACTGCAATGCAGATACGTCTTCGTACATACAAGGTGTTGCGTAGTGGTGTACAATATTTTGATGGTTATTCTTTTTCTTGAACAGTGATTGATATGAACAGTTGTGTATGAAATATTGAAAAATTTGTAAGATATTTTGCATTTTTGTTAGCATATCTAAAACACAAACCAAATTTCACTCACTCCCACATTTCACAGCTCAATGAACATTACCATTAGAAATTTAGCCCTATTTATATGTTTTAGCTACTGACCTTCAATTTTATGAAGACCTTTTACTATTTATAGACTATGTAAAAAAAATCTATTTAAGCTTATTCCGATCCTGATACCATAATGTTTTGGGTTTGTTTTTTGAACTACTTATGGAAATAAATGAATATGTTAAGTCGCATTAAAGGGATCATCGGTTATACTTTCAAGTCATGTTTGGACAATGAATAAAATAAGCTTAGGAAGGATATAAATAACCTTGACTCATTACACTTTTCTTTTAATTCCTCAAACTTCTTTATAAGCCACATTTGGCTAATGTTACTCATCAATGAGACTTAATGGAAAAGTTGCCTTAAACATAGTTTTTATCTTGTTCACTGTATTATAGAAATCGTTTTGTTGATGTATATATTTTTACGATATCTAATGTTCCGTAAGATCTGTAACTAAATCTATTATAGTGCATTTTATACATCTGTATTTCATTTCCCCACCAATCCCTGCTTATTCATCCTATATGATATAAACTGAACATTCTAAAAAAGCTCTACAAAGAACCAAAGCTTGCTATTGTTGAATTCGTGGCTCCCAAAGCTACCTACAGACCCTGGATCATGGCTAAATGGCAACCGTTGGAGCTCTGAACCCTGACAATCCTGGTACGACTGGATCATCAAATTTGACAGCGTGTAACTGTACTCATGAATCTTACCGATATGCCAATAGATTTGATTCGATGAGCTCTCCTTTGATACTGTTATACCTATTGTTTAGTAGACCAAGCTTCTTTTGATTTCAACAAGCAGTTGAATATAATAGACAAGGTTCTCTGAAATCATTGGATAATGTATTTATTCTACCTGAAAATAGCCAGTCGAATAGTGAATTTGCGTGTCCTAAAAATTATCAGAGATGAAATGACATACCTAAGCGTCATATATGTGAATTTGTCTAAGCTATCTTTCTCCCAGCAAGTCCACTTTGAAAAGGTTAGTGTCTCGTAGACAGCGCTGAATCTATACTGCGTGTTTGAAAAATAGGCGGAGATATGTTAGATTGTAATTCCTTGTTAGAAAATATGAAAAAAAGTTTCTATAAACATGGGTCTGGAAATACAGTTTTCAAGATACAGAGTGATAAATTAAAAAAAAAAAGATTTTAAACTTTTTAGAGAAATTTCGGAAAGAAAATTACGTGAATAATTCTGACGCGCAAATGTCAAACTTCCATGCAGAAATGATTTCTTGTTTTCCAAGGCGATTTTTTTAGCAGAAATTGATAAGCCATTGTCCAGTGACATGCAATTAAAGGGTTTTTATTTTTTTCCCGAAAACGAAGTGAGTTACGAAAAAAATACACGAGACGAAGAAGTTGTATTTTTAGATGCTTAATTAAACAACGAATATAAAAGTTTCAAAAAAGGCATTGACGTACATTTTTTTGCCCCCGGGACGCCACTGGGCCTAATAATTTTAATTTATTCAGGGCTTCAGCCGTTCGATACAAATAATTTTGCCAAATTTCAACAGAATCTAGTGAAGATGTTTTAAGATATTAACAAAAAAAAAGGGGAAAAATCAATTTACCACCCTGTATATTGAAAACTGCATTTCCGGACCCATGTTTATAGAAACTCTTTTTCATATTTTTTTAGCCCTCTAAAATATCTATGAGACCTTTTTAAAGTAGATTCCTAATTATTGAGGAGAGAAGAAATATAGCTATGACACATTCTCATAGATGACGCTACGGTATCTCATTTCATCTCTGATAATTTTTCGGACGCGCAAACACTGTATCAGACTGGCTATCTTTAGCTAGAATACATTATTCACTGCTGGTACTTGGGCTTTATTGAGCTGCTCCAATCAATAAAAGTGTAAGTCTAGTACTCTGACTCAGGGCTTCCCAAACATTCGTATAAATCTACATTCAAACCGGTATTTCGTACATACAATGACATTCTCTAATATGCACATACTGACTTGTTTAAGTCCATAAAAGAATCCTACTAAACTCCATAAAAATTGTCACTACGCCCAAAAATCATGAGAAACTTGCAAAACGTTGAAAGCAATCTAAGCCTGTTTGTTTTTGCTCATAACTCCGTCACAAATGCACCCATTCTCAAAAGCGGAGAAGCATTACCCATCAGGACCTCACAGTCGCACAAAACAGAGAAAAAAAGTTTGAAAATGTCGTCGATCGTTCATTCAATCCATGAGTTATGCATACGAAAAAGCTCTTCTCAGAAGCAGTTCAACAAATGTGGAACATAAACATCCCGCCCTGTAGCGTCTGGTCGGGAACAAGACCCCAGACGACCGTGCCGCATTCGTAAATAAAAGTTGTATCGCGTTACGGCACCAGTGCCGGTGCTACCAATACTAAAACAATTCAATTTACACTCCCTTGGACGTTATCTGACCTGCCAGCAGCCGCAAAATGCTGCGAGCCTAGAGTCATGTTGACAAATCAGAGATCACGAAGTCTCAACTTGTCTCATTCAATGGTTCAGTCCGGCCCTACTTAGGCAACGTCTGAAAAATAAGTTGACAGTGCTTGTTCTACTTGACTATACAAGTAGTAAAGGCTTTAGGCTAAGTGAATCACGGTTTTATCCACAGCTATTTTGAGAGTACTTTCTACCAAGTTGTTCAAGCTCATTAACAATTATCTAGACATGCGAAGGCAGCTTGATAAAAATGAGCATAACAGTTTTACGTTCAATTTGCATCCAGGATGAATCCCCAACGGAATTTTTGAATGTTTTGTGTCTACATTTCTAAAATAGATAGAGGGTCTGAGTAAAGGGCATCCATATGTGACCGAAACATATAAGCGTTCTCATTTCCTTGCAAACAAACAGGAAATATCTGTGAGGCTATCTCAGATAGACAAATAATCTAGGAAATGCAAAGATAAGTGCTTGAAGCTAAATCCTCAAACATGTTCTATTGTGTTGCTCAGGAGAGAAAGGGTCCACACTCACGTCTGCGGAACATTTCTCTCGCTGATGAATCTCCATGTTGACATGCCGCCAAATAAAAGCCTGATGTAGACTGAAGGATGTACTGATGTTTCGGCTACCTTGGTGGCCTTTAAAAGGTATATCAGATAGGACAATGGCAGTATATTATACTAATATATAAAATGCAACACCCAAAATTATATTGAATTTTGATAAAAACTTGTAAGCATGGAGGTATACGCTGATAAAATGTTGAAGGTATTCCGAGCCGCACGTATCTTGAAACGTGACATTATGCGGATAATTTTTACATTATGCTGGTTTTTGTTGACATTATGTAGGTTATTCTACAAGATGTTAACTAAGCACTTAGTTGTTCGTGTTGCCTAAACGTCATGAGGCTTGTTATCAATCTTTGGCTCTGATGTGATGTAAAATCTACTTCTGAGGTGGCATTACTGGAGGTCTAACCTGTAAGATGTATGTGTTCATGATAATTACACTGGGTTCTTGTCTCAAATACACTTAATTGAGATTCAAAGCTAGAAATTAGTCGCTCATCCACTTTTCCTTATACGTTCGGGAAATTACATATACAAATTTGCTGAATTTCGAAAATGAGAAAGATAAGAAATAATTATATTCACTGTACACTGTTAAATTACAAGCCATTACTGTTAACCCGTCATATTCGGCAAACTCAGTAATGATTTTCTCACACAGCAAATATCACTAATTTTATACACATGTAGACCAATACACGTAATCAGCCAGTTGCGGTCTTGCGATTCAACCAACTTTCTTCTCAGAGATAAAAACTACAGGCTCGGATCATTTAGCCTCACAAAACTATGCAACCAATAATGCGTAGTTTAGTTGAGTGACTCCTCCATAGATGGACGTTCACAACATCCTAGTGATCAAACGTGGAATGACTGTTTGCGGCCTAAAAACTACCTAGTCTGCAAGTTGACATCCTATAGGTTTTTTGACGTTTTATACGATTTTTACATGATACCCGTGCCGTACTTTTTTTGTAAAGACTTATTTTGTAATATCAAGATCTGAAAAATATGAGCATGTTCACTTAATATTCTCTTTTGAATCCATTTGTTTCATTGTTGTTTCATTGCATTATCATGCCTAGAGTACGCTACGAGTACGCTTTCAATTAACTGTCCGAGTTTGAGAGGGGTCGGATAATCTAAAGGAGATGTTGTCGAGCGTGGTTCCTAGAAGGCCGAAATTGATGAGTTAGAGGTACTGGATATCAAAGACAGACTATAGAGAGACAAGGTCGTTATTTGAGGCAACTAGCACTTTGAGCTCGATTTTACACAACAATGGCAGTTGCAAACCAGCGGTCATTTAGTATATTTTCTGTATCTGTCTTGTAAGTGACAGTTCATTTGCTTTTCAATATATAGTAGCAACAAATACAAATGAAGTGCCGCCTAGAACATAGGTAAATAAAATATTCTGTCATTGTCATCTTCGATGTACTTTGAAAGAAGCTACTGAGGTGGCTGTGGCGTTAGTAAATTCTTCATTCTACATTTGTTTTTTTGGTTTCGAAGCCAGTGAAACATGAAGATTAATTTTCAGATAATCCTAGTTCAGTTAACTTAGAAAAAATCTAAGAGATCTATTAGATTTCTTCCTCGATTTCTTTGTCCAGGTAAGTAAAATGAATGAGTGCAGATACAAAGAGGTGTTCCCAAGATATTTAAAAGCTTAACAATTTGCACATTGTATCAATTTCCTAAATACATTCTTTGTTCCTGAGAAGGCTTGGCGGTCTCTAAATTCAATGCCGAAGCTCTGGAGGCATAGAGTTGCATGTGATTCAATTACTGCAATCACTGAGAAACTACAATAGATTATTTCAAGCTTGATTTATTACAGTCGTAGGTATTCGATACGTTGCAATTCCTGAAACCAAGTCGCAGGTAGCTCACATTATGCATGATGTATTTTTTCAGACTCATCACAGAAAGAATATATTACGGATGGGCTTCTTTAAAGAATTAAGAAGTTCAGTTGGTCGCACTAACAACATATGGAAGGGACGTGGTTCATTTTGCTTCATTCTTGCGAAGAAAGTCCGTGTGGATTCGTGGTGAGCAGACCCTGGAGCGAAATATCCGGTCACCCTGTATGAGTCTGAACAGGTCTGTACTAAGGCGAAACGGCTAACGTCACAGAGCATTTAGCAGATCCGAAAAGAGCATTTATTATACAATATTTATAGCTTACTTACTCCTAAAGCTAGTCACAAAATATTTTCAGATCCACACAACAACGAAGACAAAGTCTAAACACCGGAGTAACACGACTGCTATGAACGATCAAAACATTGCTTATATGAGTTTTGAATTGTTTGAGAGACGTAGAGTCCGAGAAGCAATAAATTTAACCTGCATCCCTTTCTATCGTCTCAGGCGTTACGAATTTTATTCACATTCATTGTTCACACTTTTGAGCTGTCGCAGTCGTTAATT